TATTTCATGAAAAATTTAGTATTCTCAAACCGAAACATAAGCAGGTCGATCAAGAGAACGTTTGAGGAAGTTGATTTTCCCGTTTCTTTCAACTGATTCTTATGTCAAAAGGGCCGCTTACATATGTTGGTCTTAGGGAACCGAAATTTACATGACTTTTTCGTAGTGTGTAGAATTGCCTGACCTGTTTGAAATTAAATTATCTATAACTTTGTAGAAGCAAGTATTCCATTAAACCGAGGGGTGCGACACATCTAAATGTCGATTTTAAATTATCAAAAAATCTCACACTAGCGAAACAATATACGAAAAGTCTTTTTTCATCTCTTGCATCTAAGCCCATCTACATGCATCGCTCTCCACCTTTTTGCAGGAAATCTTCAAAATCATAATCAATCGTGTGTCTATCTATTAAGCGCGAGTGCATCTCACAACACCAAAGCAAAAAATAACCTGCATCTTAGATGGAGTCGCCCCCCTCGCATTAAACTTAAAAAACTACAAGGGAAACCCCATGGGGTTGTACGCAATGTTGACGTAGGACTACGTGGTCTTATATAATAAATCTTATTTGTTAACTGCAGCAGGAGCTTGTGTTTTGTGTAGGAGTAGGAATTTGAGCGGAGTTCTCTCTGTTAATACTCTTAAGTATGACGCGCTTGACATAGATGGCCCACAGCGACTCACGAAGAGCTACTGATTCCGATCAATAGAGGTCCTCCTTCCATGGATGATGCTCATGTAGGCTGCAGCTCACTGCTTGCAGGCAGCCTTTCGTTGTGTACTGGAGAACACCAACACTCACCACGCGGTGATTGAATAAACACCGTTTGGTGAGACCGGATGGAATTCAACTTTGAAATCTGTGTTAGGGAAATCACTTTTACACATTCGTGAAATTTTAAATAGTTACATTTTGAAAAATGTTAAAGTCTTAAATTGGATGCGTAAGAATATTTCTGATCGATTGGTGATAAAATTATTGAAATTGGTGCAGGGACAGCTGAGCTATTAACGTTCAAAATCTTTCATAATTTTGTTACATGTTCCATTTTCGGTTTTCACAAAGTGTACTCCCATATAAAAACACAGACGTAGTCCTACGTCAAAAAAATTATAAATTTTAATGTTGAAAAAAAGGACCACCCTTGTCACCACCTACGCCAAAACGAATATCTTTTCTTGTAGACAAACTCCTCCGAATATGTTAAGCCTCCAGAGTGCACAGTTTTCGAAATATCGATTTTTGCCGCGAAATTTTGCGTTCTTGACCATAGTTATACAAATTTTAACATGTTCAAGATTGAAAGAAATGTTGAAGTGGTCGGACACTGATAAACTTCAACGATGAAATATTTGAAATGGAAATCACGGGTCGCCGGATCAGTCAAGGTTATTGAAATTGGATTAACACTTACAAGAAGAATATTCCGAGTTTCAATTTCGTACTAACGCATTGAAACGCCATTGGATTTTCTTCGTCCTACGGATGAAGGTAGAAAAGGGAATTCGCCAGGAGCGCTTCTTTTGTTTTGAGAACAATGAGTGTAAATATGCACACAATACGCTCTAATAGGCTTTGTGTTGAAGCTTGTGAACTAACGCATCGGTACAAACGTATTGCTGATGTGTGTACGGTGAAATCATTGATTATACTGATGTTTTTTTGCTCGATAGAACGGAAATGGACAATTACGACGAATAGCGCTCAACCCTATTCTAAGGTATTTCTAAAACGAATTCTATCAGTAGCATCACAGGCAAATTTTGATGAGAATTACATGGGGATTGAAATGAGTCCATGATAGAATTTCAACGGAAATTCTGAGGATCACAAGCAACTTTAAGGGAATTTTGACCAAAATTCACTGAAAATTCATCAAGAACAACACAGGAATTTTGATAAGAATTCTAAGCGAATTGTGATAAGATTTCCAAGGGAATCTGAATCTGAAGATAATTCCAAATGAATTCGATGAAAAACATAGTTTTTTAGCATAATTGTTTAGGAAACCTTCTTCTTTCCTTTATTTAACGTCGGTCTCTGTTCCGCAATCTACACTGAACGAAAAAAGTACTTAATTTTGAGTTTTTTTCACCCAGGTTGGCATTTCCTTGTGCCAACTCAATTTAGAGTTCTAGCGCCTACTCAATTTTGAGTTGTTGTCATTCACTCGCATGTAAACAGGATTACTTACTTTTAAGTTGTTTCCACTCAACGTCAAGTTCAAACTACTCAAAATTGAGTTTAACACAACTTACTCAATTTTAACTTGACGCACGGGACTGTCGAGTTTAATAGAACTCAATTTTGGGATTTTTACTCTTGAGAAGCATCATCTCTAAAGTAAGTTTAAAGAACTCAACCGTTGGGTAGTTTTGGTTCTCCGTGTAATGCCAATCACCGACGGACATCGATTGCCATCGATTGAAGGAAATCGAATATGCAGGAAGGCAGCTTCCACACCTGCGTAGCATATCACACCCATTCAGTACACATGGGCTGGGCCCAACGGCTTTGCTTGTAGAAGGAAGACGTGACCAGAGATTTTTATGCCTCAGAAAAATCCCACCAACCTCGGCTGGGATTGAACCCAGAACCATTGGGGTGAGAAAGCAGTCACGCTTACCACTACACCACCGGTGCCGGCTATTGTTTAGTAAAGGGTGTATTCGATAAACATGGCACACATATAAACAGTTGTAACTTTTTACCATTATACAAAATATCTTTAAATATTTAGAGAAGATTTTTTAGAGAGTACTGAAAAAGTATAAAATATGTCATGATTCAAATACGAGCTTTAACAATTATTTTCTTAACTTTTTGTAGAATGGTGAAAAACTGCTTATTGATATTTTTACCTTTTTTTCCCATTCCTTGGTCAATTTATTAATCTTTAAAGTGTGATAGAAACGTCTGTTTTTGTTTGGCGTGAATGGATTTATTTTTCATTTGTTTCTAAGGGTTTAGATTTTTTATGTTAAAATGAGCCGACATTTTGAAGTGTAAATCCTGAACAACACTGCTCAATATTTTGAAATAAAATATTTGGCAAAAAATTGGTTTGGTTCCAACAGCCAATAGCAACAATGACGATGGAATTTACTTGCATAACCACTGATTTCAAATTTCAGACTGTTCAACGGACAGCATGTTGTTATCCACTATTAATTGGCATCTACTGTCAAATTACGTAATAGAACAACGGACTTTGATCATGCAAAATGTGGAAACAACATCAAGTCAGTTTGTCCCATCAAGCAAAGTAATCACATATCAGTCCCATCCTGAAATTCAATCGTCCAGAAGTCAAGTTACAGTTCTGCTTTTTGAATCGCTATAATTTTATAGTTGTCAAAAATATAGCGATTCAAAAAGCAGAACTGTAACTTGACTTCTGGTCGATTGAATTTCAGGATGGGACTGATATGTGATTACTTTGCTTGATGGAACAAACTGACTTGATGTTGTTTCCACATTTTGCATGATCAAAGTCTTTAGTTCTATGACGTAATATGATAGTAGATGCCAATTAAAAATGGATAGCAACATGCTGTCTGTTGTACAGTCTGAAATTTAAAATCAGTGGTTATGCAAGCAAATTGCAACTGGCTTTTACTTGACAAACTTATCGATTAATTCACTATGATTTTTTTTTTAATATTTACATTGCACTTCTTAACTTTAACTGTCATTTTTTCAATGCCTACTTTTTCCATATGCGACTGATATGGGATAATAGGCATTATACATTATTGACTAAAAAATCTACACTGAAAATTTCAAGTCATTTGGTATAATAGTTAAAAAGTAATATTATAGCTATTTATGTGTGCGTCATTTTTATCGAATACATCTTTTAGTAGCACAGTAATGAGTAGAAGTTTGAGGTAGTTCTGACTAAAAACTTCTGAGGAGAATTCCATAGGAGTTGTGAGGGAATTTTTACCCGAATTTTTACCCTAATGAGTGTTTCAAGATAATTCTAACAAGAAGCTATACATTAATTTCACACACAATCTAGTTGCTGCAACTTTAATTTGTTAAGGAATGTTTGCTACTTGTGTCATTATTTACAAAATCAACTAGCCCCGCATTGAAATATATTATTATAGGGGAAATGTATGTAATGTCGGCCTCAAAGTCCCTAATTTGGGCAACCAAAAATATCCATTAGTAACGTCCCAGTGACGCGTTCATCTAGATAAAATTGATCAATATCAGATTTTTAGCGATGGGCTCAATGTTAGATCCATAGGGCCTATGGCATAGGCCAACATTAGAGCCATTTCCCCTATCTGCACACTTTGTAATTCCTCGAAAAGCAATTACTATTTGATGAAAATTCGGCCATTTCAAAGTGATCGATATCCGTACTTTAAGCGTCAAGTCACAGCACTTGTTTTACACACATTTAACTAATTACCAATTTATTAAACTGATTACATCCGATGCTTTATAATAGTCTTAAAATGTCTTAAATTGGACACACACTGCTATGATTGAATTAAATGAAAATAAGGCTAAATCAATATAGGATAAGGATTTTACAGTAGTATCCCTCAGTGTATGTCGAAACAAAAGATCACCCAAACCCCATTGTAAAGCATTCATCCATTTACGGTATTTGCAACAGCGAACGAACTCAGTAACTATATAAATCATAATCACAAAATTCTTTGGTAATTTTCTTTCGCTTTCACGCAGCCCAATCAAAACAATTAACATGCCAGCAATTTACGGATGATTACACTCGCTGCGTGATAACCACGGAATTTTTCCATTATCGCAGATAAGGAATCAATATCACTTTAGCCATCGCCATCGTGGTTCAGCGCCATGTGGCCCACGTGGAATGCAGCGTCGCAACCAAACAACAAGCACTTCATTTCCGTAGTGTAGGTAATTGTTCCCACTAGTCTGCACGACACCATAGGGGAACCCCCAAAAACGCACGCACGCACGCACCGACCAATTGTATGTCCCAAACACTTACTAGTTTTGTAGTATGCTCGCACTGGTATTGTTGTTGGGATCTTCCTCCTGGGGAATCGGAATCACGTAGGATTTCTGGTACTCCTTGGGCAGCAGTTTAGTTTTCTCGTTGATGGTCATTTTGAGTCACTTTTTTCGAACAGAAAAACTAACAAAAGAACAACGGCGACGACGACTGAAGGTTCGTTACGTTTCAACGTTTCAAGCACTTGTGATCGCAGATTCAACAATGGTTGGAAAATTTATACAGGCCAAAAGCACAAGCTGGCAGCAGGCGAGCGAACCCGAAACCGTCACGAGATTAGATCCCGCCTGGTTGCTGTGTGCAGCGCACAGCATCCCTCGAATAGCGCTCTTTCTCTCGCTCTGGGTGTATTTGCGAGTCTACGAGGTGTATTGTAGATAAGAATGTTGACTGTGCACGGGGGTATAGACTCTATTTGCACGAGAGAAGAATGTTGTTCTCACTCTCTTCCGTATGCTCACAATCTATTCTTCTGAAACAGGCAGATCATCTTTCCTGGTCTTACCCGTCCCTGCGTTGTCCGTTATCATCTTCATTGGACCGACGAGGATCAGTCACCACCAGTAGTGCTGGACTATGCAGATGCGTCATGTGTCAGCCTTTTCCCACTGATAAGACGATCAGATTTGTTTACTACTTACATACACTGGCATGCACCAACGTGTGCTACGCTGCAACAAATGTTCAATTGCATGCTGTAAACATTTGCTGTTTGTTTGAATGGTGTAATCAATGCAAAATAACTAAGTGGTCATGCAGGGATTTTTTGGAATTTTCACACAATATCAACCAATATTTGAACTAGGATGGAGTTGGGGATTGTTTGATGGCTTACTACCTGCGATCAGATCAGATTCAACACTCTGCTTCCTACCAAGGGCGTTTTCTAAATAGGGATGTGGAGGGAGCAGGCATGGAAAATCATTTGCATTCATTTCATACATTCATTTACATTCATTTGCCTCTAACTTTTTTAATCAACAGCATTCCGCAAAATGATGTATGAAGCTTTTGTAGGTTTTGTTATTAACTACAACATTTGCTCATAACTCAAATCTGTATCTCTTATACATCACGAACTAGAGCGGGCAGAACTTGTTACTGTTTTTCAGTGAATGTAAAATACATTCACTGAAAAACAGTAGTGGCTTCTGTTCGCTCTGGTTCGTCATGCATAAGAGATACGGATTTGGATTGTTAACTAAAGTTGTAGCTAATAACAAAACCTAAATTTTATACATTATTTTGCGGAATGCTGTTGAAGAAAAAAGTTAGCGGTAAATGAATGTAAATGAATGCAAATGATTTTCCATGCCTGGGGGGAGGCAATTTTTTTTATGGTGAAGCCAGATGCCAACATGCTGAATGCCATTAGGCCGAACTCTATTATAACGAACGCTATTAGGGGCTGGATGTCAAAGGGGTAACTAGGACAAATGAGTAATTTACCGTATGCGTGATAATGCTTGCACCATTGAGCAATGTCAAAATTAAAAAAAAATCTTATAAATTTCGTTTTCGAGTTTTTTTTTTATTTATTCAAAGGGGGATGTTTCGCAGAGTCTTAAACTTTGTTTATCATCAATTGAGTTTCCACTTGCTGCAATTACGGCCTCCACACGCTTCCGGAATGCACGACAGGTTCTAATAGTGTAGACTGGATCCATTTCTCTCCAGGTACGGGTCAATGTTTGTCTGAGGCTTGCTGCACTCGGGTGGCGTTTAGAACAGGCCTTTGCCTTCATGACGCGCCATATTGAATAATCCAGCGGATTAAGATCGGGGCTGGATGGCAGCCACATATCCTTCGCCCAGAACGGAAGATGTTCCTGCAACCACTTCTGTGTGCGGTTCGAGGTGTGGCACGGAACCCCATCATGTTGAAATACAACATTTGGCTTCGGACCGTACTGTTCTTTGATCCACGGAAGAACATACTTACGTAAAATCCCGATGTAGACCTCCGTGTTGACCTTGTCGCCTTCTGGAATGAACACCGGGTCCATTTTTTTGTTGCCATCGGAAGCCACCAATCCAAACACCATAATGCTAGCAGGATGCTTGGTCAGATACACGTTCTTGTGCTCGTCGGCCACGTCTTTTTCCGGAAGAGAACTAATATACCGGTCGGATCTGGAATTTGATACGCTCTCGTCGGTGAACAGGATTACCGGATTTTTTTTCGCTTATGGAAGTTCAAGACTTTCTTGCATCGTTCGACTCTAACTCCCCGATGCGGTTGGTAATCATGTGAGATTTTTTCCGTGCCCTTGACTTCGCCCCGCAATCTGCCTTTACGATCTTCCGTGCCGTAAATTCACTGATCCCGTGTTCCTTTGCCATTTTCCTTATTGAACGCACTGGATTCACCCGAATCTTCTTTTTGATAGCAGCGATAACCCTCGGAACCCGAGGTTACTTCGGACGACCTATGGCCACCTTCGCGGATAGTTCACCTTTCTTTTCTCGGTCTAAAACCCTTTTGACGGTTCACCGGGACACTCCCACGGCGATTGAAATGTCTTTTTGCGACATTTGCGCGTGGGACAAATCACGAATACGCTGCCACTTCGTCATAGTGCAACTGTCAAACTAATAGCGAATTCGTTTATTATCGGGGTTGAAACCAGTTCCAACCCAGTGCGAAACCGAACTTTTTGTCAGTGCGAACCTCAACCTGAGCTAGGTTTTAAAAACAAACGAGCAAACTGACGTTTGTCAGAAAACAAGCAGACCCAATCCTGATACCAGATCCAGGTTGGAACTGAATAATAAACGAATTCGCTATAAGTAAATCATTTTCTATTATACACAGCCTACTAGGGTATGAGCTACGTGCATTCAAAGAAAACCAAGGCATTGTATGCAAAGGTGAAGCGGGAACCTTGTTTGTACGATGGTGCAAACATTATCACGCATACGGTAACTGAAGTTTTAATTTCTGGCAAGCTGCATTCAAGTTTGAAAATCCAGGTTTTTTGTGTTTTTTTTTTCAGGAATTTAGGAATCGTAAAACAAGATATGTTTTCCTTTATTATAGAGACTTTAAGCCGTGGGCGTAGAATAAGAATTTTTGGCCAACATTTTTGAACTTTTTATTATTTTTTTTTTCATATAATTTGTACTCAGAATACACTATTAAATCATGTTGTTTGAAAAAATCAACAAAAGCGTACTAACAAAAAGTTAAAAAAATTGACCAAAAGTTCTTGTTTTATGACTTTTGTCATGGTTTTAAATATTTCGAATTGTTTTTTTTATTTAAAAAAATCGAGCACAGACATTTTGAGATATTTAGGTTTTTATTATGTTTTTAAATTTTAGCTTAAAAAAAAAACAAATATTTTTTATTTATTTCCCCAGAGAAACATTATGTTTCTCTACAACTTTGGCTCGGACGTCATTTCGATAAAAAATGTCGTCTTCTCAGAATTTCTTTGAAATTGAACCCTCAACATTAGATTCCTTTCATCTGCGGCGGCGGCGTGGTGGCGCGACGCCGTTGACTTCGATCAGCGGCGCGGCGGCGTATCACTATGGTGGCTGTCAAAATGTCACATTTCAAAGTTGAATTTAAACCAAAATATTGTAGGGCTAACTACCCCATTTTTGGCCTATTAAGCACAACCCGCACTTAGTCTTTCTTAATCTAGCGCAGTTTAGCACCAAACGGAGTGTTATTATTACTGATGGCTTCCAAATTTATTTACCTTTCTGTACACGTAAGATTTGATAAAGAGAAACCAATCGTTGAGATATTATCAAAAGTCTAACACTGCTTCTTGACGCCAAACTCGGCCTACGGATTCTAAACTCGGCCTGACGCATTGAAACGCCATTGAAACGCCAATGAATTCACTTCGGCCTATCGGATGAAGATAAAAATTGATTTGGTCGGAGCGCTTCTTTTGTTTTTGTGAATTATGGGTGCAAACCTTCATATCACGCGTTCTCATTGACTTCGTCCGGTAGCTTATTAACTGAAGTATCGTACCAAACTCATAATTGACTTTTTAACTCAAAAATCATGGAATTATTTTGTGTTTTCTGCACGATAGGCCCAAAATGGGCGATTAGGCCGAAGTAGTTCTCTACCCTATTACTGTGACTTGTTGCAGATAACTCCATTTTGAAATTGTTACCGAAAACACCACCAAAACATGCCGGAATAGTAACGGAATTATTTCCTAATATGTTTTTTTTTGGGTAATTAAAATCATCCCGGATTAAAAAGCCTATTTAGAAGAGTTGGTCAGGTACGGACATTTCAGTGCCAACATTTCAAAGGGGCGTCATTGTTTTTGTCAACAATGGCTATAGCCGTCGATTTCTCAGGAATAAAAGCTCACTCATGAAAATTAATGACACCAGCAGGTGAAGCTAGCATTGTTAATTTTGAGGGGTAAGCTTCTATTTACGAGAAATCGACGACTACGGGTATGCAATTAAATAAATTTTCGGCTTCGGGTCGGATACAGGTAACAACAAACGTGGAATAGTCGGGTGTGGGTGTTTCTTGCATATTATCCAACTAAGAAAGTACGAGATGAACTAGTCAATGAGCTGAAAATCTCTCTAATAAAGTTTAAAACAAAGTAACAAATTAATGATTTTGAGCATCAAAACAAGCTTTTAGCGAATTTCTTCAACAAATAACACATAGGGGAATGCAGGTAATGTCGGCCTGAGTGTCCCTAATTTTTGCCCATACATAAATTCAGCAATCGACTAAATTTTCAATTGTGTTCTTTAAGGGTATTGAGGTAAATGCATATTCGTAATCTGCATTAAAAATGGAACCCAAACCCAAAATTTCATCAATTTTGGTACACGGGAGCTATTTTAAATCAGTACGATTACATTTGCAAAATTCACTTTATTAGCGCCCCTCGGTGTCACTTTGTATGGGAGCGAACTGTCAGTTTGTCAGTTTAGTGTCAAATAGTGAAAATCTTGATTTAAAAATCGAGATGAAAGTGTGTGGGTTCGAAATAAATATCGCTGTGCTCAGAAAACGAAGCTCTTCCAGATGATATATTTTTTTTTCCTTTGATTTGTTTTCCGTCGATCTTGTTTTCCGTGCTGAGCACCAATGCTACCGACGCCAGGGAGGCAGCTCCCACACCTGGACCCTACCTATCGACTCATCAACTCATGAACCGGGGACCAACGGCTTTACTTCCCTTCCGAAGGAAGGCGTGATCAGAGATGTTATACCTCAGAACATCCCGGCGGCGCCGACTGGGATTGAACCCAGGCCTGCTGGGGTGAGAGGTAA